ATCCACAATTGATTATGATGAATGATTACGAAATTATACCCAAGAGTCCTTTTAAATAATAAGATGTGGTAAAATTGTTATAGAATAGATTTTAAATTTATATACAAAAAAAAAATAAATAAAATAAAATTTAAAATGGAAAACAAAGGATATAAAAAAAAAAAACAAAATATTCAATATCAACTTATAAAAGGTTGAATAAATTGAAATTACTGTAAATGCGGATGTAGATGTATATATACATATATATATATATATATATATATATGTATGTATTATACGTTACATTAGTATTCTGTAATAAGGTATAAATTACTATGATTTATCCTTTAAAAAGGGATGCGATTGCGATAAATCTATTAATAATAAAAAAAAAATTAAAGAGAAAATTAAAAAAAAAAAAATTAAATTATAGAAGAGAATTTATGTTTTGTAAAGAGAAATGAGTATTTATTATTTTTTATTATTTTTATGTTTTATTTACGAATAAGTTGTTTGTTAATGTTATTGTTTACTCAATTTACTGTGAAATATTGAGAAGATTGAGGTGAATTACTACGAATGAGACGAGAGAACAAGAGAAATAACTTTTGAGTTTTATTAATAATGAAATTTTTTTGTAGATTTTTACTTCTTGTTCTCATTTCACCTTGTTCTAATTTTATTAACGTTATGATTTAATATTTTCAAAAATTCAATGTTGCATAAATACTTATACGAAATAAGTATAAATAAATAGGATTATAGATAGATTTGGGAGGTGAACAAGATTTTTGTGGATTCTATACAATGTGCAACAGTGAACAAACTCGTAATTGTTATTGAAAACTTTGTAAAATAAATGAGCAATGAAACTAAAAAATTAATACCGTTCTAATTGAATCAGAGTTCAGAAAAAAAATGAAAATAGGTCACGATTTTATTACCATTATCGAACTATTTAAATTTTTAATATGTTGTGTGAAACAAATAGTTCTTACAAATATATTAATAATATTATAGCAATTAAATCTTCTTGATTTCAAAATCACTTAAATAAAATTATATTGGATTATTTATTTTCTATAAATTCTTTTTAAAATGAAACTTATATAAATTCCAAAATTTTATTAAATTTTAAGATGACATTTTTTATACTTTATAAACCCGAGCAATTTTACTTAACACATACACATACAACTTGTGTTTTATTTAGTTTTATAATAACATTTAAAGCAAAAAAAAATATTTTAAAAATGTTAAAAGTTTTTCCCGTAATCTATGATTTGGTTATCCGCATACCGAATAATTATTAATTCCAAACACAATTTCAAGAATCGATTAATTATCAAAGGGCACACGTGCTTTTAAATGTATGTGTTTTAAATAGTATTCAAGTTGCTTTTTATTTTTTAATAAATAAAATTATGTACATACATGCACATACACTATATATACAGAGCATATCAACCTTAGAATGAAAATAATTTTATATTCATATAAAAAATAGCGAATAACTGAGCGAATGTAAGTACGCGAATTCGCATATAATAAAAATGTAAATTAAGGAAATTGAATTGATTTTATGTTTTTTCTTTTAACACTTTAAAATATATTTTGCATTTAAACTGGTTAATTATTAAATTGAAATTTAATAGAATAGTGAATTTTATTTGATTTTTAATTGTGTCACCATTGTACACAGAGATAATGTGCATAAGTTCATATGGATTCAATTAAATATTCTTAAATTTAAATAATTCAAGAAAAACTATTTCAAGATTATTTTAAAATAAAAAATCGATATATGAATAACTGAGTTGGGAATTCCATTTAATAGAATTGAAAATTTTTAACACTTTATAGGAAGGAAATAACTTTCAAGAATTTTAAAAAATTAAGAAATTGTTCTTTCTTGTTTCACAAAACAAATTCTTGCCAAATAATTTTAATTTGTATAAAGTGATCTGCCCATAAAACAATTATGTCCTTATTATGTTAGGAATTTTGTTAGGCTCATAATGTACTCAATAGAAGCGCAATTTCTTTCTTTTACTCAAATATAGTCATGTACAATTAAAATTAGAAAGGAAAATGAGTGAGGTTGATTAAATGAAATGCAAATATCTCGGAATTATTCAAACGAAGGACTTCAGTAAGCAAAAGAAATTATATATTGGGGTCTTGAAAATTATTAAAGACTATAAAACAAATATTTAAAATAATCAAATTTATTTCTTAATTTATATAGGAAATTTGAACAGATTGTAATTTGTAATTGAAAAATCAAGAAGATGAAAGAAATATAAGACCGGTGTAGAAGAAACACACAATAAAATTTAAACATAATCGATTTTAAATATAATAGAAAAAGTTTTAAAACATTTATACATCAAATTTCATACAAAATAACCGTATACTTATTTTAAATTTCTTAAAATCTACTATACGATCAAAGAAAACTGGCGACATCTATTGTAATTCATTTTCATTTACAATCAATATTATATGAGAAAAAATTGAATAAAATATAAATATATTTCCAATAATAATAAAAATAATAGCATCTATAAAAAAATTTTTATATCATGAACAATACAACGCATTTATTAACTGAATTATGTAAATTCCAGTTCTTCATTTACATATTTATTATTAGAAGAATTCATATGGTACATACACACATCTGAGCACAACTTTTTTTCAATACTTTCTCTGTATTGTAATTTGAAATTATTATACACACAAATAAAATGAATAAAATATTTTCAATTTATATTTTTTTTCATGCAATAATTATTGTTATTGTTACATAACAAAAAAAACAAGTATAGTAGGGTAACAATGTATACTATTCTAAATAGATGACCTATAATCAATGAGATATGATTTAAGACAATTTTTTGTCATTAGAACGTGACCGTCATGCATGCTTGAAAATCATCTTATATTATGTTCTAGTGCAGTATAATGTTCACAATATATTATTATATTTTCTCTGAATTCAATATGACGGATGACATTTTATCATAGGGCTCCGTAATTAATATTGATAGAAAATTATTTCTTTTCAAAAACTTGAATTAAAATCCATAACTTGTGAGCTAATATATCTACTAATAGATATATAAGTGAATAAATTTATAAATTTCACAAATACTCATTTAAAAATCCGCGCTATAGACTCGATTCGTTATAAAAAACTGATTATTGCAAAGATTAGAATTGCAAATTCCCTATGATCGTGAAAAGCACGAACTGCGTTAATATTCTGTCTAATATGCTAAATTCAAAACTATGTCGGAATTTTGTTAAATTTGTCATCGCTGTAAACAAATATTTTACTTTCGAATAATTATTAGAAAATATTTCATATTTCCGAATTAACCTTTAATTATGGCGCTTAAATTTCAACATTTCGAAAAAATTTACTTTCGATTATTTGTACCTAACCCCAAAAAATCATTATATTATTTTTTTTTCTCTCATTTGGTATATTTGAAACAGTTTCCTATTTACTTATTCATTTACCACGTGTTTTCATATACCGTGTGAAAATTGAAATCATAATTAAATAGAATGATTTTTAATTAGAGCTTCTCAATAAAAAATCCAACATGTGGTATGTATCGTTTTTATGTTATTCATAAAAGAAGTTTTAATGGTTTGCGGTTTTAAAATATTTTATATATATTTTTTTTATTATTTATAGGTCATATAGAATTATTTCTTATAATATAGACACTTAAAAAATTTTTATGTCTCATAATATAGTTTAAATAAATAAAAGCATAAAATTAAAAATAAATAAATAAATTCCAAAAAAAATTATTTAATGGGAATAAGTGTAAATTTGAAATGCACGTTTTATTTAATATCGATAATGGTTTATTTTATGGCAAAATGTAGAATCTAATAAGTTTAAGTGCCATAATTAATGATATCGAATGAGAGCCTTAACTTGGTATGAAAAATTTAGTTTTATTGTCTGGCAAAAGTTGGAAGACTTTTAAACTGGGCGTAAATTATATTGAATAAAATGCAGTTCTCATAATTTTTAAATAAATTTTGAAGTTTTGCTAAATGTAATACAAGGTATAAGTTATTTTTCAAAATCTTAAATAACATTACAGCATTATACAAGGCTTCTTTCAAAAACAAAAAGAAAAATTTGAAAATGCTAGTTTTTGGGGAAATTTTGACATTGACAGATTTCAGGATTGACACACACTTTCATTAAAAACAGAAAATAATTGCAAAATGGTCGATGCACCAAAATTTTATTTTGCCATTTCTGCCATACATAACTTTTATAAAGTAAAATATCAGTACATTTTATTATATTTTGAACGACAATAAGATCATGTAACTGGGCTGTCATATTTTTAAGTTATTGTTTAGTAAAATATGAGAAATAATTACTAATGATTTGAAATTATTTGATCTTTAGTCTAGAAATAATGTACTCAATTTCCCGAATTTCAAATTGTCCATTTTTAAATTTCTAATTACGAGACGATAAAAAGTATGCTTAAATACTGTAGATACGACAGTAATACTACAAATACTCTTACGTAATAAAATTTATAATGATAGCCCAACCTATATCACAATCCATAACTGGTGACATATAATTTTAATAATTATTGCTTGTTAAATCACAAATAGCTGATAAAAGTAATAATTAACATACTTTCTTATAAGCATTTTAAATTGGTATTAGGATTTTTGCATAAATGTACAAATGTATTTTAAATGTATACAAATTGCATGAAAATATCGTAAATTATGTCAATACAAAAAACGATAAAAAAGAGAAAAGAAAAAGTCAATTTTCTCTTTCTCCTCTTTCTCATATTTTTCTATTATATTCAAAACTGTAATAATGTTTATTTACAATCATTTATTATTATTATTATCATTATTATTTTATTATTAACATCTTGCAAAATATATACTTATAAGTGTGTGTATATACGAGTATAATATAATAAAAACAAATATTGTAAACATTTACTTACCGATCCATTTTGTCTAATGACATTGGATTGTGTAATACGGTCTGTTGACTTTCCATTTCGACGACACATTGTGTTCCAAGTTCAAGTTCTGTAACAAGTATAACAATAGAAATTTATTAAAATTAGTTTGAAAAAAAAAATGGCGTTTTAATATTAAATGAATATTTATTAAATAAATAATAATATTCGTGATATTATGCATGTTTTTTTTTTTAAACTAGTGAAAAATTGAAAATGCATGTTACAAAATTACAAAAAAAAAAAAAATGGAGAAAAATGAGTAAAATGCGGTTTTGCTCTTTCTTTTTATGACTTAAACAAATTATTAACGGTAAATATACGTAAAATAACAGTATTTTGTTTTTGTTTTAAAATATAATATTTTTTTTTATTTTATTGTAATAATAAAAATGGCAATTAAGAAAAATGTAAAATAAATTGAAGTCAAAATGAATTTGAATAAAGGGAATGGTTTGTAAAAGATGCACATTTTAGTTTAAGAACAGTGTTGTTAATCATCACAGATTACAAATGCTATATACTTAAAAGTCAAATTTTTACAAATTGTTCGTAAATATTACAAATACCCTAAAAGAATGGAGGCAGCCAGTTGTACAAATATCCTAAAAGAACAGGCAGTTTCGGAAAGCAATTTGAAATGATTAAGTATTAAGTGTTATTGGGCAGAACTTTGTGGGAGGAATTTAATTGGAAATGGACAAAATAAGAAAAAATTTAGAATAATGTGATCAAATTTTAGTATAGATTAGAATTTGGCACAATAAGTATATATTTACATGAATTTATGGAAAAATTTACAATTAAATATTATAATATACTTGTATATGAGCACTTTTACAACCCTACATACCTATGCATATATGCATCGGTTCAATTTAAGCACATAAAGGAATTTTGTAATTTTTAAGCAATATAATGCAAAAAAAAAAGAATACAAAAACCGGAAATTTCAAAGCATTTCTTTAAAGGCCATTTTTGTGCCTTTATTTATAGTTTTCCGTCCAATATATAAATATAGAAAACACCCAGAAATGAAGAAAATAAGGTAAAATAAAAAAAAATTTTTTTTTTAATTTTAGCTTTTTGTTCTAATATTGGATACATAATTTCAATTTTTAATAGGATTTTTTTTGTTTTGTTTTAACGCTATCACGGATGTTTACACGTCTATTTTACATTATTATAAACTCACACGTTTACATTACTCGTATATATCATCTTATATATAATATTACATATGTATTTATAAAAACATTAAAAAGAAAGTGTAATATTACAAAATTACATTAGTCTTTAACATATTATGATAAAATAAGCTTTATAAATTTGTAATTATTATTTTGTTGCATACTCTTGCATCAATGTAAAATGGAATTTGAAATGAAAGTAAGAAACTAATTAAGTTTTGATTGTATATAACAGATAAGTACTTGTACATTGTTTAATTTATTTCATAAGTTCATCTCAATAATAAATGAAAAATCCGAAATTTAGATTGAACATGAAATAAATTGATTAGTTTGCGCTTTAAAAATGAAGACTAATGTAATACCGTTAATATGAAATACACACTAAATTACGCATGTGAACGTATAAAACAGCAGTACTACTTTTTAAATTACAAAATCAAAATTTTATAAAATGCTCAATAAATTAATAAGCAGTACAATAAATTCAACCAGCCTCTATTCTGCTAAGTACGAAATTGTCAATTTAAAATTTCTCCTAGATTTATGCAAAATTATGTGTTAATTAAAAAATATTTCATAATTACATAATAAGACACGAGTAAATGCAGGTGTCACCTATAATTTTTAGCGTAAATGGCTTTATTGCATAAATATAAGTTTTATTTTAATAATATAATTTTTAAAAAAAAGCGACTCAGTTTAAGAGATAACTTGCCATTAAAAGGTGTTATGTCATACTTTTGAATTATTTCAATTTACCCGAAACTTCAAAAACTGTAGTTGGTACCTTTATTCACACGTGTCTTATTAACATAGAATATTTACATTATTACCGACCGTATTGTGTAAACAATAGGTAGGTTATGTGATGGCAAAAAATTTTGCATATCGAGCTTTCGGTGGGAATGCACTTCTCCGTAGTAGGGAAGTGTAAGTAAACTATTTTTAGCAACCTGTCGGTCTGTCGGCCTGTGTGTGCACGCGTGTATCTCAAGTTCGGCTGAACCGATTTTGATGAAATTTTATATGTAAGTTTATTTCCACCATGGCACGGATTGATCAACTTTTGGTATATATCAGGCCTCGGGAACTGCACTTTTTAGCGGGCTTGTTTTACATTTTTCAACATTTTGAAGAAAATATTCAACCGATTTACTTGAAATTTTATATATAAGCTCAGCTCGACCGTCCGCGAAAGTTTCTATGTTTTATAAGAAATCAGGCATCGGCAACTAGACGTTTACTACGGGCCAAATATACATTTTTGTGTATATAAAGAGATCTAATCAACTGATTTCATTGAAATTTAATATAATATGAATTCCTCGTATTAAAACAATGAACATATAAATTTTTTGGAAAGATCAGGGTTCGAAAACTGATTTGTGGGCCGATTTTACATTTTTCACCATTTTGATGAAAATTTTCAACCGATTTACTTGAAATTTTATATATAAGCTTTGCTCGATCATACGCAAAAATTCCTAACTTTTGGCACAAATCAGGCATCAGCAACTGGACGTTTACTACGGGCCAAATATACATTTTTGTGTTTATAAAGAGAAATAATCAACCGATTTCATTGATATTTAATATTTGATTTCCTCGTATTAAAACAATGAACATATAAATTTTTTGGAAAGATCAGGGTTCGAAAACTGATTTGTGGGCCGATTTTACATTTTTCACCATTTTGATGAAAATATTCAACCGATTTACTTGAAATTTTATATATAAGCTTTGCTCGATCATACGCAAAAATTCCTAACTTTTGGCACAAATATACATTTTTGTGTTTATAAAGAGAAATAATCAACCGATTTCATTGATATTTAATATTTGAATTCCTCGTATTAAAACAATGAACATGTAAATTTTTTGGAAAGATCAGAGCTCGAAAACTGATCTGCAGGCCGATTTTACATTTTTCACCATATCTACGGAACGAATTGATGGAATTTCTTGAAATTTGATATTTCAGTTCTGGTTATTACCGAAACTAACTGGCGAGCATTTCAGGGAATTCGGGTTGCACAAAGCGAAACTCTACTAAGAGCCAAATTTACATTTTTCTAGGTATGTTAATTATAAGCTTACTAGTGTCCTAAAAATTGGAAAGAAGTATTTAAAAGACATTTTTATAATATTCTGTAACACTTTTATTTAATTAGACAATACACAATGCGGTCGGGTATGTGCTGACCACATCAGATTTTTTTTTTTATGTAGATCAAAACTCCGTTATAAGCCCTTGATATAAATTGTTAAAGAGAAACTGGTTTTAGGAATTAATCGACTTCATTTTTACGTTATTAGCTATTTAGTTTCTAAATATAACATTTAATTAAGAAGTTTTTTTTACTATCATGGGAATAAGTTTTCATTCGAGTGGCCAATTAATTAAAATTTAATTGTTTTATTATAAGGAAGCCATTATTAATTAATTGAGTTACTCACATATATATATAAAAAGAAGAGGTACTTTTCATTTTTTCAATCTTTTAAAGTATTTTCCATTAAAATAGCTAGCTAATCTAATTTTATCATAAAAATTCACATAACATACATGATATTTAATTTCTACATATATAGACATTACATATAGCACAAATTCTGCACCACATTCTACACATTCCTAAAATACATAAAAATTAATATCACATTTTACAACTATTTATGTGTAATTTGAATAAAACAAAAAAAAAATTACAATAGATATTTGAAATAGATACCTTAGCTATATCTTTCTCTATTTTTCTTTATTTTTTCATAAAATTTAATCAAATTACTTGTCTAGATTGTTATTACCTTGGACTTAACTTAATATATAGATTTTATTTGTAAAATGAAAGCGCTATCATCATAAAATAAATAAAATAATTTTAATTTCACATAATGTTTTTTAAGTATATATAACTTTCGAACGTACAAGATATGACAACGGTATAAATTTACATAAATATACATTTTAAAATTTACATATATATACATAGACATGTACATATATATATATATATATCCGGAAAATTGAAATATAAAATGGAAATTTTATTTTTTATTGTTTTCCTAGTCATTTTTATCTATTTTTAACCTAATTTCAATTCAATGACTCTATAAAACATAAATTTTTATAAGATAATTGTAGAAAATTTATTGTAGATTATTTTATTTAGCTATAGATTAGGATTACTATATAACATATATATATATACATATATATTTATTGCAAAATTGTATAATTTTATAAAATCATAACAATTATATGAAAATTAATTGAATTTTCTCCAAGAGTGTCGATTACAATATTGTGTGTGAATATTTAAATTTTGATTTTATGAAATTTGTTATAATTATTTTTGACAATTTTTATGATTTGGTTATGCATTTTATAGTCACATTCTTACACATTGTCAGTAATAGAATTTTAAATTACAGAATATTGATTTAGTTCTTACTAAATCAATAACTAATTAAGTTTTACTTTTAATTGTGATTTCAATTCATTTCCTTATATGGTTACTAGAAATCGTATTTTTGTATTTCAGAAATTTTATATGAAATTTCGACTTTCTGTTAGTATTCTACCAAAATTTTGAGATTTTGACCAAGACATCAATTCCAAAAACTATGAAGAAGAATTTTAAATATGGTATACCCCTCAACTCAGTTTTGTAGCCTGAATTAGGTAGTTTATTTTAGTAAATATTCCTCATTTAATTCTAAAGTTAAATGGATAAAAATATGAAATTGTAAATGCTTTTGTTTAGGACATATGTGATAAATATTAGCAATTTCATTTATATTTTTATTATATTAAACAGGCCCGGTTCTCATTTGTTCGCCGTCTACACGGTTTACAAAAAGTGCGTTCCTCCTC